CTATGCTATAGTTCTCTGGGTGAGATTCTCCTCTTTGAGGGAGTGGGTGGAGTGGATTGAACATGATATTACAGCATAGCTCTGGCTGACCTTGAACTCACTACGTAGTCTAGGCTGGCCTCAAAATTGTACTGCCTCAGTTTCCCGAGTGATAAGATTAAAGGCATCATATATCATACTTAGGTCCTTGGAAAGATTTTTAATAAAGCATAAAAACATTAAATTATGATGCAAGTAAGGGCATTTAGGCTCAAACTCCAATTCTATGGTTTAAACAACAAATTGTTCAATCCTAATTTTCAAATTTCCTTGTCTGTACCATGAGGGATTGGGCATAAAGGTCCCTAAAGTTGACTCTTCATTGTCAACTTGACTTGACTTAGAATTATCAGGGGACCACACATCTGGGTGTTTATGAGAGCTGAGCATCCCTGAGTCTGAATTCAGGAATGGCCTCTTCTCTCCTGTTTGTTTTCCCAGCACTGGAACCATACTAGAAGTCAGGGGTGTGTCATTAAAGTAAGTTAATGTATCCACATCTATTTGACTCTTTGTGTTAATTCAGACACTAATGTCTACAGTATTAACATTTTAAATTAACTTTTAAAAGTATCTTAGCATGGGCTTCCATAAAGACAACCACAGGTGGCCTTGTGTGGTGGCACACACCTGTAATCCCAGCGATCAGGGAAGCAGAGGCAGGTGGATCTCTGTGAGTTCAAGGCTAGTCTTGACTGCAAAGAGAGTCCAGGACAGCCAAAACTACACAGAGAAACCCTGTCTTGAAAACAAAACAAAACAAAACAAAACAAAACAAAACAAAACAAAAAACCCAAAAGTAACCAACCAAACAACCAACCACAGGCTGCTGGTCTAACAAGAAGTCACCAGTGTGAAAAAGGACAACAGATGGTAGAAAGGGGTGGCATGAGGCACTGGCCTTTCTTCCCACTTAATTTTTTAAACCTATTCTTTGTTTATACTTTAAGCCAACTTTGTTTATTTAAGTAATTGCACTCAGAGGTCAGCAGTATTATGTGTCATCTCGGCCAAGATGATTTAGCCTCTAAGATTAGGGATACTGAGAACTTTTCATGTGGGACTCCAGAGCCGAGCACAACTTCTGGCATGAGGAAGGAGTGGAGGGTGCGTTCAAGTCGTCTCCAGAATGAGTTCTTCACCCACTGCCAGATGCATGAGCTGTTTTCATCATCACGATGGCACGGGCAAACAGGCAAGTAGGCAAAGGTGTCCCTCAAAAAGTGGGAGAAATAACACCAGAAAGATGATGTAGCAGGAAAACTGCATTCTCCCAAGCCTGATGAGTCAGATTTGATCTCCAGAAGCCATGTAAAAGGAGGAGAGAACCAACTCCACAAATATATATATAAATAAATATATATTTTATATATAAATATATAATATATATATTATATATATTTACTCTGTAGGTCTTCTTGTGGTGTTCTTGACCCCTCTATCCTTCCTCCCACTCTTCCACAGAACTCCCCAAGCTTGGCTTATTGTTTGGCTGTGGATCTCTGCATCTGTTTCCATCAGCTGCTGGATGAACCCTCTCAGAGGACAGTTATGCTAGGCTCCTGTCTATAAGCATAGCAGAGTATCATTAATAGTGTCAGGGGTGGCCTCTCTCCCACGAGGTGGGTCTCAAATTGGGTCAGTCATTGGTTTGCTATTCCTTCAATCTCTGTTCCATCTTTACCCCTACACTTCTTGTAGGCAAGACAAATTTTGGATGGAAGGGTGGGATGAAGCCCCTCCCTCCACCGGAAGTTCCACCTCACTACAGGAGGTGGTGACTTCAGGTTCCATGACCACGGCTTCTAGAAGTCTCAGCTAGGGTCATCCCCATAGACCCCCGTTCCAGAGATGACCCCACCAATTCTGTTCTCTCTCCCAGTACTCTCCCCACCCTTGATCTCTGCATACCTGATCCTCACCCTCCGCATACCCTCTCCCACCCAGTTCCCTTCCTCCACCTACTTCAGATAGCTGTTTTATTTCCTCTTCTGAGTGAGATTCCAGCATCCTCCCTTGGGCCCTCCTTGGCTTCCTTGGGTCCGTGGACTGTAGCATGGTTATCCTGCACTTTATGGCTAGTATCCGTTTATAAGTGAGAACCTACCACGTCTGTCTGCACAACCTTGGAAGTCATGCCGATTTTACACACTGAAGCACATGTACTAGAAGAGCAGAATTGCCTGCACTTATGTAGAAGTATGAACTTGAAAACCTTTGCCCAATTTTAAGACAGGTCTATTAATTTCATTGATGACATTGGATCAAAAGTGATTATTTCATCATGATTAGGGCACTCAAAAACTTGGAGAATATGCAGTCACTGTTGGATAATCTTGTCTTTACTTTTAAATATCTTTTTGTCTATATTTTTATAGTATGTATCTGCAAATGCTTAACAGGATAGTAAATGTTAGCTACATTAAAATAGTGGTAATAATAAATGAAAATTTCTTCAGTTATAGGAATTTACATGTTTTGATGTATCACTTACAATTATTTTGATGTACTAATTACAATTACAACTTACAAAAAAGCTGTTAACAGCAAAAAAGATGTCCATGAATGAAGCAGAGAATTCTGAGAGCTTGTGAGAAAACTCAAAGAAACAAGATGAGAGTCTAATAACCTCTCTTTCTCCATTACATGAAATGTTTGTGGAGTGTGCTTTCATGCCTCTCCCAGGTGCAGCAAATAGGAGTGGGTTCAGTTCATCATTACTCAGATGTTTCCAAGCATGGGCTATTCCTGTGACTGTATACAGCCTAAACCCATGTGACATTGGCTCATTTGACCTTGCTTGACCCTCAGAAGACTCTGAGAATATAAACTGTGTGATGCTCTGAATGAAGCTGGCCATTTGGTGAGACTTTAGCGCTCATTTTAGGCTCTGCTCTCCCAGGTTCACCCCACCAATCACAATGGTGACACACAATCACCAAAGCAACCTGAGGAAGAAGGGGTTTGTCTTAGATAGGGACTCTTTTGCTGTTATAAAATACCATGACTAAAAGCACCTTGGAGAAAAAACAGGTTTTTTCAGCATACAGTTCCACAGTACTGTCCATCACTGTGGGAAGTCAGGGCAAGAACTCAAATAGAGCAGGAGCCAAAAAGTAGGTTCCTGGTGCAGAGGCTATGGAGTAATGTTGCTCATTGGCTTGTTTCTCATGGCTTGTGCCCCATGTCTTGCTCAGTCTTTCTTTCTGTCTTCCCCATCTATCTATCTATCTATCTATCTATCTATCTATCTATCTATCTATC